ACCCCTAGCACTTGGGCACCTCCGCCAGCACTGCAAATTGCATGCCCGTCAAGCTCGCAAACAGCACCTCCACCAGCACCCATACCCCGCAGCACCCGGCCCTCAATCTCGCAAATCATTTTCCCTCCTTTATTAGAAATTAGAACCCCTATAGCTTTCAACTATCTGGGGAATTACATCTCCCTCGCAAAACAGCACCTCCAAACTACATATCCCGTTACGCTCGCAAAATGCGCCCCAAACTAAATACCCCCAATCGCAAAATAACACCTCCGCCAACGTGCATATCCCCAAACACCCGACCATCAATCTCGTAAAATAACACCTCCACTAACACCATATATCCACTAATTTTCTGTTATCAATCTCGTAAAACAACATATATAAAATACCATACCCAAATTAAATATCCCCTAGCCATCAAATTTCCCAAATTACATTCCCCAATACCCGATTTCCAAGCTCGCAAAACAAAACCCCCACCAACGCTCCAAACTACATACCACAACGCCAAACATCGGCAAATCTAACACAAAATCCTCTGCCAAGAGAAACTTAATGTCTGCTCGGAACGATTATCGGCAATTAACACCTCAAGATTCCAAAATACCTCCATAAGTTATATACAATTCTCAAAATCTAATATAAAATAATAATTTATATAATTATTTTTTTAAACACAAAACACAATTAAAGCTCAAATATTCAAAAATATATTCTTTAAATTATTATTTTATATTTACTCTATAAAACCAAACCGTGAAACTTGCTCGTCGCACTTGCGCGCGTTTTCCCGGACCGCTTTTCCGAAAAATCCCGGATATTTCGGAAAATTGGTCCGGACTGCCCCGGGAAGATGTAACCGCTTCATAATTCCTACGGATCGCTCGCCCAAATCTGTCCGGGCTACCCCGGGCATATGTGTGTGCGGAAGACATAGTGGCTTCATTTTTTGTGGGGGCCAATTTCCCGAAATATTCTAGATATTTCGGGAAAACGGTCCGGGAATCGCAGCCATCCACCATTTTCTTAAAATATTACGAATATTTTAAGAACCATTTTCCCGAAATATTCCAAATATTTCGGGAAATGCTATCGTCGAAATATCCGGAATATTTCGGAAAAATGGTCTGGAGTGCGACTATCGAAATATCCGGGATATTTCGGAAAAATGGTCCGGACTTTGAACGAAGTCGTTGTGTCTTCTAGATCAAGAGTCTAGGCATATATCTCCCCATCCGTAGCCGTTGAACGAAGCCGTTGTGCCGGAGGTGTGTCTCTTTTTGTCTCTGTCTCTCTGTCCGTGTCTTTCTCTGTCTCTCTTTGTCTGTTGGTCTCTCTGTCTCTGGTATCTGTTTCTTTATCTGTCTGTCTGTCTGTGTCTGTCTGTGCTGTGTCTGTCTGTGTCTGTGTCTGTCTGTGTCTGTCTGTGTCTGTGTGTCTGTGTCTGTTTGTGTCTGTGTCTGTGTTTCTCTGTTTCTCTGTTTCTCTGTGTCTCTGTGTCTCTGTGTCTGTCTGTTTGTGTCTGTCTGTCTGTGTCTGTCTGTCTGTGTCTGTGTGTCTGCGTCCGTGTGCTCTGTGTCTGTGTCTGTGTGTCTGTGTCTGTGTGTCTGTGTCTGTGGCTGTCTTTGTCTCTGTGTTTGTTTTTGTCTTTGTCTTTGTCTGTGTCTTTTGTCTCTGTCTTTTTGTTTGTCTGTTTGTCTGTTTGTTTGTTTGTGTGTGCTGCGCGCCGGAGGTGTGTCTCTTTTTGTCTCTGTCTCTCTGCCGGTGTCTTTCTCTGTCTCTCTTTCTTTGTCTGTCTGTCTGTCTGTCTGTGTCTGTCTGTGCTGTGTCTGTGTCTGTGTCTGTGTCTGTGTCTGTGTCTGTGTCTGTGTCTGTGTCTGTGTCTGTGTCTGTGTCTGTGTCTGTGTCTGTGTCTGTGTCTGTGTCTGTGTCTGTGTCTGTGTCTGTGTCTGTGTCTGTGTCTGTGTCTGTGTCTGTGTCTGTGTCTGTGTCTGTGTCTGTGTCTGTGTCTGTGTCTGTGTCTGTGTCTGTGTCTGTGTCTGTGTCTGTGTCTGTGTCTGTGTCTGTGTCTGTGTCTGTGTCTGTGTCTGTGTCTGTGTCTGTGTCTGTGTCTGTGTCTGTGTCTGTGTCTGTGTCTGTGTCTGTGTCTGTGTCTGTGTCTGTGTCTGTGTCTCTGTGTCTGTGTCTGTGTCTGTGTCTGTGTCTGTGTCTGTGTCTGTGTCTGTGTCTGTCTGTCTGTGTCTGTGTCTGTGTGTGTCTGTGTGTGTTGTGTTGTGTGTGTTTTTTTTTTTGTTTTGTTTGTGTTTTTGTTGAATTGTTGTTTGTTTGTTTGATTGTTGAAATTGAAATTATATAGATTAAGCTTTATGAATTAATTGATATTTCATAGGTTAATTGTTATATACGTTATTGGGATATGAAATTCGCAAATTTTTTGGTTGTTGTGTTGAGTCGATTTTTAGATATATTATATTGGTTTGTTTTGATTGATAGACTTATGAAGGAATAAACTATATTTTTTAGAGGATTGGAATGGTTTATTTAAATTTTTATTTTAATTTTAACACTATGTTTTTAATTAATTTTAATAAAGGATATTATAAATGGATATTTAATTGGTAAATTTTAGATTAATGATGAGATGAAGAAGTTTGTTGATTTCGGTTTAATTTTAGAGATTCGAATATATAGTTGATCGAAATTATATTGGTATGGTTTGCTATGGAACAAATATATTTATGAAAAAAAGAATGATAAATTAGAAAATTAATTCATTTAGACATTTTATTATTATGTTGGTTGAACTTTAAATAATTTAAGCGAAATTAATTTAGTTTTATTTGTATTTAGAATATATTTTGGTCGATGATATTTTTGTATACATTATAATAATTATATATAAAGATGGATTTTTGTTTTTTATTATTTAAATATTTATATATTAATATCGGGCACCTAAGATACATTGTTGCCTTGTGTATCGCAGTGTTCCAAGAAGTATATTGAGGTGCGGCTGAGAAATTTTAAATATCTCCAGAATTAGGTTTCCAATTTAGTATAACATATAATCTTTCGAAATATTTTATTTAGGCAAATCTAAGACAAAGGTTTAAATCACAATCATTTATTTTCTCGAAATATTCCGAAACCGCGTTTTCTTGAACATGTATTCGATCTGCCTATTTTTGTCTCTATAAATAAATTAAAATGATTTTTTATTTTATATTCTGATTTTCTTACTCTATTAATATAGGCTTCATTTCGCACACTATTAGAAAACAACGAATCCCCACTAGTATTTAATAATCGAATATAATATATAAAAATTCAATCTTAATCATAATTAAAAATAAACAAATATAATGTATTCAAAAATTTATCAAAAACTAATATATAAAATATCAATTCCAATTAAAAAAATACAATATTAAATTACAAATTTAATATAAAAAAATCTCAATTTTATAATAAATTTATTATACAAAAAATAAATTTACAATTTTAATGAAAAAAAAAAAAAAAAAAAAATCGTAATTTAGAAATGTACATTTACCCCGGCACCGGCATCACAGCATCTAAAGAGACTAGGAGACAAATTGGCAAGAGGAAATCAATACATGGAACTAGCGTCACAGAATGAAGGAGATCCCGGAGCGGGCATCACAAAAGACAAGGGAGACAACAAAAATAACAAAACACGACGGCATCACAGCATCTGGCATGACCAGCGAGAGACACAACCAGAGTTGTGGGAAACAAAGGGGCAAGAACAAGGTCGCCATAAAAACTAGACCACGGTTGGCCCGAAAGCAGAACATCGCAAGCGAGGTCGGCCCAACGCTGCAGGATGCGTTCTTTTTCCCTACACGAAGGGTTGCGCGAGCACCGCAGAAATCGCAAAAAACCATGGGTTTTTGCACCTCGACCACGCCGATCCCCGCAGAGGGTCGCGCGAGCAGGTTAAACATCGCAAAAAACCATGGGTTTTTGCACCTCGACCACGCCGATCCCCGCAGAGGGTCGATTTTCGTGTAGTGTCGTCGGCACTACCCCGCCGCCCTAAGAAGAGATTTTGACTCCTCGCAAGTCAATTGCACTTGACTCCTTGCACTTCATTGCACTTGACAAGGAGTCATTGCAAGGAGTCATTGCAAGGAGTCATGGCAAGAATTCATTGCAAGAGTCATTGCAAGGAGTCATTTGTCATTGCAAGGAGTCATTGCAAAGGAGTCATTGCAAGGAGTCATGAGAGCCATTGCAAGTTGCAAGGAGCCAGTGCATGGAGTCAAGTGCAAGTGCAAGGAGCAGTGCAAGTGCAAGGGGCAAGTGCAAGGAGCCAAGTGCAAGGAGCCAAGTGCAAGGAGCCAAGTGCATGGAGTCAAGTGCAAGTTGCAAGTGCATGGAGTCAAGTGCAAGTTGTGTGCAAGGAGTCAAGTGTTGCAATCCTTGCATGACTCCTTGCAATGACTCCTTGCAATGACTGCTTGCAATCCTTGACTGACTTGCAATGACTCCTTGCTGATCCTTGCTTGCAATGACTCCTTGCAATGACTCCTTGCAATGACTCCTTGCAATGACTCCTTGCAATGACTCCTTGCAATGACTTTCATGATGATGATTCCTTGCAATGACACCTTGTAATGACTCTCATGAGAACAACTCAAGTGAACCCAGCGGAAGAACCCTTCGCCATGCTTTCGGGAATAGCCAGTTATACTTTTATTGTGGTGTCTTTATATTTGTCAAGTGTGACCAAACTAGGCGATTGCTTTCCCCAAGCCCTCACGATGACATCCAAGCAACAAGCTACTAAAACAAAACACAACTATCCATACTTCACCCTCTCATTGATTTTCTGCCTGAGCCTGTGCATTCCATTGATTTCCAACAACCCTCCTTTGTGGAAAATACACCCAACTCGAAACAAAGTTCTTGTTGTTTATGTTTGTACCATTGTGCCCAATGTTTGTGTTGCCGTTTGTTCAGCACTCGCTTTTTTGGCTGACCCTTGGCTATCGCACTCGGCGATTTTGTCCATCGCTCAGCCCAGGCGCAAGCGCGCGGAATCCTCCTAGGCGCAGCCACAAATCATGATTCTGCCGTGAACATGATCCACATTGTCACTGATATTGGCTTTTGGCCTGTTAAGAAATTTGACCCCCGAAAAGGAACACAACGGACGCAACACAGTTTGAGGTCCCCATGCCCCTCCGAGAATTACTAGCTACCGATCTTTCTGAGCAAATCTTGCCAAGCAAAACACGGGCTGAAAAGAATACCCCCCCCCCCGCACAGGACTGACTTCAATGGCGGAAAGTTCCCAACCATTTTAATGGTGGAGGTATGAAGCTACCAACTGGCAGTGGGGCAAGCACAAAACTGATAGTTCTTTGTGTGCTCTCCGACCGACACAAGCAACCACAGACACACACACAGACACAGACACAGACACAGACACCACAGACACCACAGACACCACAGACACCACAGACAGCCGCACAGACAGCACAGACAGCACAGACAGCACAAACAACACAGACAGCGCAGACAGCACAGACAGCACACACACCACACACACCACACACACCACACCGCACACACACCACACACACACACACCACACACACCACACACACCACACACACCACACACACACACACCACACACACCACACACACCACACACACACACCACACACACACACACACACCACACACACCACACACACCACACACACACACACCACACACACCACACACACCACACACACACCACACACACACACACCACACACACCACGCACACCACACACACACACACACCACACACACCACACACAACACACACACACACAACCAACACACACACATACAACACACACACACAACCAACACACAACACACAACACACAACAACACACAACAACACACAACAACACACAACAACAAACAACAACACACAACAACACACAACAACACACAACAACACACAACAACACACAACAACACACAACAACACACAACAACACACACCAACACACACCAACACACAAGAACACACAAGAACACACAACAACACACAGCAACACACAACAACACACAACAACACACAACAACACACAGCAACACACAACAACAGACAACAACACACAACAACACACAACCACACACACAACCACACACAGCAACACACAACCACACGCAACCACACGCAACCACACGCAACCACACGCAACCACACACAACCACACACAACCACACACAACACACACAACACACACAACACACACACACACACACAACACACACACACAACAGACACATCACACACACACAACACACACACACACAACCAACACACAACAGACACATCACACACACACAACACACACACACACAACACACACACACACAACACACACACACACAACACACACACACACAACACACACACACACATTTCCATCCGAATTCCATTGAGAGGGCGCAAGGGGTGCCTAGGGTTCACAAGTTGGGACGGAGCCAGGTTGAACCCCAAGAGGCCTGTTTTGGTAGCTGTGGATTGCAAACATAAGCAATGACCATGTCAGCAAGTGGCTCATTGAAAGAGCTCACCCGGCTTTGCCCAGCCAAAAATCAAACCACAACATGGTACATACAACACGGGGAAAGAGTCTTTCATGTGTCCAAGTCAAAGTGTCCCGCTGCGCTTCCATGTTGCGACATCTCCAAGTTTACTGCCCGATTCATGCACCGAGCCGGGTATGGCAGTTGTAGGGACAACCACGCAGATCAAAAGCCAAATGCTCCATTAATTATACCCACAACAGAGTTCCCGAGTCCATCTGCTTCCTGCATAGCAAGGGGGAAACGGATTACAGCAAAGCAAGATGCCTTTATCTAGGTGAATCTGCAGTGACTCACCACCATGAAGTGGGCTTTCCTCAAAATGGAACCCCGGGCTTGACTTCGCAACCCACGAAGGGTTGCTGCCGCCTAAAACCCAACTGGATCTGGGGGGGGCAAGCTAAGTGCCTCGCTTCAAAGTCCGCGGGCTGCTGCTCCTGACATGTGGCACAACCGCAACCAACGGTCGCAAAAATCTCCAGACCATGGCAAGGCTGGCCTGTTTGGCAAATCACCTTCACCTGAGGCAAAGGGCACCTTGCAAAATGTGGAATTCAGCTGCCCGATGGGAAACCTGCCACGCGGACTCGGTTGGTCCTTTTTGGGAAGACTCCTGAACAATTGGGGCAACACCCGTTACCAGTGATCACATATGATCACCTCATCATTCGCAGGCCGTGGTTGAAAGGGCAGCTATTGGCAAACGTGGCAACATGCGTACCTTCCATATAGAAACACCCTCCCAAACATCCACCATTCATCTGCAACGGTTCACCGGGTTGCTTCAAGACCCTAAAGACTCTGGCACAAGGGGTACTAAAAGGGGGAATTAGACAATTGGTTCGCTACACTAAAGACCTTCGCAGACTCTTGGTTGCTTAGAAAACTGGTTCGAGGGGAACCAAAGGGCCAAATCAAATTTCCAGATGTTTTGGCTTTTTGGAGGCTCGAAGCACCCCTGATCACGGAAACGACCTGGACGAGTGAGCTCGGTTTACCAGTTGGGCTCGTTGCAACTCGTGCAAATTGATGCAACCGGGCACCTAGATATCATCTAAAAACCCACTTGAACCTCAAAGTGGTTTGAAAAACATGTTGGTCCAATTCGCGGCCAACGATCACAACTCGCAGCAACCCAGCAATTGCAGCCTTGGTGACGGCTCTTGGATTGATGTTGCCATACCTGAGCGCGACAGACAAAAATCGGCAGCCCTAGTCTTTGGAGCCCTTTTTGGGGTTGAACTGGGCTTGTTTCCGGTGGCTTGCAACGCCATGTCAAACAAAGTCAGAGAACAATCAAGACTAGGGTCGAAGGCTGAGGCAGGGCCGTGGAAGCAAGTACCTCACAAGGGTAGGTCTCTTTCAAGATGTCCTTAGGTCGTTCTTTAAAGCAAATATGGAAGGATTGTGTACTGGTCGGGTGAACTTTGAGGTGTGTTTCGGAGCGCGGCGGTTTCTCTTCAAACCACCCTTTGTAGGGTCATTTACAGGACATCACTGGAATGTGTTTGCCGTTTGGGTTTTACTCCCTGAAGTTGTGTGAGCATGTCCGTATTTGTCTATCTATGGGGACCTGGACCACGCATAAGGTTTGACCATTTCACATCCTTTTCAAACTGAGTTGCTGGTGCTGTTTGTTTGCTGTTTCTCGTCGAGTTTACTAAGATGAAGGCTAGCCTCAAAAAACACACACACACACACACACACACTTTCAGAGTCACTGGATTTCCGCTTCAAACGTTGGCAAACATACTTCAGTATTTTCCATTGAAACGATCGCCACTTTTGCTTCCACAGGAAATGGAGGCAACACCCCGTTTTTCACATCTGTTTAGTGACGCCCTTTGCGACCAACCCGAAGGGGTTCACGGGGGACAAAGCGGCAGGTGTCTCGGGCTCTGAGAAGCCACACTTCTCGAAAAGCTGCTGCTTCAGAAGCTGCTGCTCTCGGTCCCGCCTCAATCCAAAGCCAAGGGGCTGCTCCCAAGAGCAGACCCAGAACAAAAGGAAACCAGCAAATGTACACACATTTTCAAACATATATATAATACACATATATGGGTTTGTATTTTTGTACGAGGGCCGGGCAGGAAGGTTTGAGTACGGGGTATGATTCGCAGGTATGATTCGCGGGTATGATTCTGGGTATGATTCGGGGGTATGATTCGGCTAGGTGCAAAACGGCACTGACTACAGACTCAGAATGATGTATGTAGTAGCAGTGAGTAGTGGCAGTAGTAGCAGTAGTAGAAGTAATAGTAGTAGTAGTAGTAGTAGTAGTAGTAGTAGTAGTAGTAGTAGTAGTAAAGGTTGTAGTCGTAATAGTAGTAGTAATAATTAATCGTAGTAGTAGTGGTAGTAGCAGTAGTAGTAGTAATTGGAGTAGTAGTAGTAGTAGTAGTAGTAGTAGTAGTGGCAGTGGTAGTATTGGGTATCGCTGGTGGTGGTTGTTGTGGAGGCAGTGAACAACACAAAACGGTAGAAGAACAGTAGCATCTTGCAGCATACGTTTTAAGGGGTATGATTCGGGGGTATGATTTGGGGTATGATTCGGGGGTATGATTCGGGGGTATGATTCGGGGAGGTCCCACCTTCTGCCTTTTGAAGCAAGTCAACACACCAAAAAAGGACAAACCCATATATATATATACAAATATATATATTTGCATACACATTTGGAGGGGCGCAAGCTTGTTTTGCAAACACACCTGCCACGCAGCTGTGATGACCACACCTTAATCAGCTCTTTTCATCGCTCCCAACCCAAAACCAAGTGCTTGGTTCAGGTGCGTAGTGGACCTTGAGGCGTACCCCCAGAACTTGTCCTTAAAAGGAAACCAGCTCGGAGCCTGCATGATCCTCCTGTCAACATGGTTGGCATGTCACCCTCTTCTTTAGGGCAAAGGACCCAGCACCAGAGACTCCTACGGGAAACAAAAAAAACAATGAGTTCGCGCCCATTGGCTTCATCTTTGGCTCGTTTCTGAACCAAGGGTCGCTGTGGATTCTTCTTGGCCCTGGCCCCTTGGCGTGCGCCCGCGTGAGCGTGCGCGTGCGAGCGTGCGCGCGCGTGCGCGTGCGCATGTGCGTGTGCGTGCGCGCGTGCGCGCGCGTGCGTGCACGTGCGTGTGTGCGCGCGTGGGTGTGTGTGTGTGTGTGTGTGTGTGTGTGTGTGTGTGTGTGTGTGTGTGTGTGTGTGTGTGTGTGTGTGTGTGTGTGTGTGTGTGTGTGTGTGTGTGTGTGTGTGTGTGTGTGTGTGTGTGTGTGTGTGTGTGTGTGTGTGTGTGTGTGCGTGCGTGCGTGCGTGCGTGCCGTGCGTGCGTGCGTGCGTGTGCGTGCGTGCGTGCGTGCGTGCGTGCGTGCGTGCGTGCGTGCGTGCGTGCGTGCGTGCGTGCGTGCGTGCGTGCGTGCGTGCGTGCGTGCGTGCGTGCGTGCGTGGGTGTGTGTGTGTGTGTGGGTGTGTGTGTGTGTGGGTGCGTGCGTGCGTGCGTGCGGGTGCAGGTGCGGGTGCGGGTGTGGGTGTCGGTGTGGGTCTGCGTGTGTGTGTGTGTGTGTGCGCATACGTACGTATGTACGTACGTACGTACGTGCGTGCGTGCGGGTGTGGGTGTGGGTGTGGGTGTGGGTGTGGGTGTGGGCGTGGGCGTGGGCGTGGGCGTGGGCGTGGGCGTGGGCGTGGGCGTGGGCGTGGGCGTGGGCGTGGCCGTGCGCGTGCGCGTGCGGCGTGCGGCGTGCGGCGTGCGGCGTGCGCGTGCGCGTGCGCGTGCGCGTGTGGGTGTGTGTGTGTGTGTGTGTGTGTGTGTGGGTGTGGGTGTGGGTGTGGGTGTGGGTGTGGGTGTGTGTGTGTGTGGGTGCGTGCGTGCGTGCGTGCGTGCGTGCGTGCGTGCGTGTGCGTGTCTGCGTGTGTGTGTGTGTAGGTGAATCCATGGCTTCGATCAAATGTCGCGACTCCGTCAATCTAAAACAAGGACCGAAGAAAACATCCGAGTGGTACAGCGTCTTCAATTACAGGGAGTCGGCTAAGCATCAAAACACAAGGAACATTGTCCCTCAAACCCTCCCCTTGCTCCGCTTGCCCAAGAAAGCTGCGCTCCCTTCTGCAAAGTTACACAGAACCGGAAACGCCTCGTTTGAAACAAGACATTTGGGATCAGACCCCTTTGTGGGGACAGAGTAAATCTTCAGTAGGTAAAACAAGCGGGCAGGAAGATTTGAAGACCGCGATTTCAAGCAAATGATAGACTTCGTCTTGCCCGGTCCCAACCGGATACAACGATGTGAGCTAATCATGCGCAAGCTCCTTTCAAGTTGAATTCGCCATGATTCTAAAATGATTCAATGATAGACTTCGTCTTGCCCGGTCCCAACCGGATACAACGATGTGAGCTAATCATGCGCAAGCTCCTTTCAAGTTGAATTCGCCATGATTCTAAAATGATTCACTTCCGTCCGCTTGCTGGATGACCACCCCACTTGGTAAGTTACTGACAACCCTGGAAAGGATTCCTCCCCTAAGCACATCCTGATTAGGGGACTTCGTAACCAGGGTCACTGCCCACCTACGTGATCCCCTCCCCAAAATTGGGAAACATAGGGCGGTCCGCCTGTCCATACATTGTGTCTCGAGTTACAAGTGGAAGGTGAGCAGGAATCTTGTCTTTCATTCGGCAAGTGGTCAAAAGGACGACTGAAACGCCACGGAAGTGCCTGAGATATGTCAGACAAATGGAATGGCCCATCTGTTGTTTGCCTTAAAACCGAGGTCAAAAAAGGTACCCTCAAGACACACACACACACACATTTGCGGGGAAATGGCACGGCGCAAATGGCTGTCCCCCTCGTCAGGTGCCCCGGCTCCGTCTCAGGCCGGCCCAAGTTCAGCTCCTCTGCCATCTGCTTCCTGTGCTCCACCTGCGCGGGACGCGTAACGCCAAGTGTCTCGCCAGCTTTGCGAGAAGGAAAATGAGGATTCCTCAAACATAGTGGCTCTGAACTTTGGTTTCCCTTGCTTTCCCTTTAAGAACCAACCGAAAAGGGGTCTGACTTGAGAAACCGACAGAGTAAAACACAGGGTTCCGGCAGAAGGACAGATCCGAAAACCACAAGCTGAAACCAGTGGAATCCTCAAATTCTACACAGCTTCCAACACATGAAGAAAGAAATCAATGCCCAGGAAAGGACCTGCATCATGGTGAGATCGCTTTGGGCAAACAAATTAAATGAAGGAAACCTAAAAGGGCATGGCACAAAGGCGACGCGAGTCTGGTCGTAATGCCAAGAAAGGCCATGAGGAGTACGGGCTCTGGAGGTCATATACATATCTCCTTACATACCTTCCAATACCTCCGAAACCCACACCCGAAAAGTCCCTTATGCAAACAAAATACGTATGCCCTCATGGCTCGATGTTATCGCCCCAATAAACTCAGCCACAAGGGCCATGGCATGACCTCGTTGGCAAAGAGTTGCAAAGAAATCTTGCACTCTTTGGGACCAGGAAGTCTTCTTGTCAAAAAGGGTGGAACCCATTTCGGAGGAAACAAACAACAAATGGTCCCAACCCCAGTTAAAGGGCATCCCTCCAAGGACACTCACCGACTGGCCAGAACGCAGTGTGTAACACCGAAAGGTGACATAGATAGAGCTTCCCTCGGAGCTTGCCATGTAAACCGATGGTGAGAACAACAAGGCTGTATCTGGAAACAACCAGAAGAGGGGGGCGGGGTGTTATTCCCTGGCGCCTGCAACCCTTGTGTAAGACAAAAGGGCTGCTTCAAAGACCCCGCCAGTTTAGAAATTTGGAATCCGAAGGGACACTAAGACGCTTTTCGAATTATCTGTACGAACGGCTCAGAGCAACTCTGCAAACCCCCCCAAAACAGCGCGTCCCACAATTCTCAATCTGATGACTTAATTTACCAGCGATCACAAACGAAGCTCCAAACGCCAAAATCAACAAAAGTCTTTGGACAGGACCCCTCCAACCAACGGGACCCCCCAAAAAAGACAAATACTCTACAAACACCCAGTGGCGCGCCTTGACCCCACGGGACCGGGTCCCCCCTCGCCATCACTCGCTGGCCCACCTGGCGCGGCGCATAGGTCTCCTCCTCCCTCAGCCGGGTGGAGGCTTGGCCCACGTCGCGCTTCATGGCGAGGCCGGACATGAAGCCTGGCGCTTGCCGGACCCGTCGACACGTCGGCCTTTGTGGCGAGCCCACAAAAGGGTGGTTTGAAGTGGTGGCTTAGTGGTTCGGGGTGGCTTCCCATTTACCACTTGACCAAAGATCTGGTGGTTGAAAGAGAATCCCCAAACCGGAAATGATAAGAATGGTGGTATGTTTGGCCACCGAATCGGTGAGCTCCTTCTGATTCCCCCAGACGTGGGTCTAAGGTCCCTGCACCAAATGGACATACCAAATGTTCCAACAGCCTTGGGTTTCCCTTTATGGCAACTGGTCAGCCAGCTGCCTGGGCAAGCCACCCGGTTTTAACGAGCCGGGATCTCCAATGGGCTTTCTGGCATAGTCCTTGCCAGTACCTCAGTCAGATCTACCGCAAGCTGAAATCCAACGCAGCAACATGGAATTTGACAAACACATGCAGCCCGATGTTCACTTGCCCCACTTGCCCCATTCATCCTTTCGCTGGTGGAAAAGGGGGATTTCCCTTTCTTGCCTCTGAAGTTTCAAGGGAGAATGGTTTTTCACGGGCCTGTCCGCCACTGAGCAACTAGGCTGTGGTACCTTGGCCTTGTGCTCAAGCCCCCAGAGCGCTAACCGAGAACTTTCTTGATACCAAGAAAGCTCCTTCACAACCTTTGGTGTGTCAGCCAGTACTTTCCTTGCGCCTCACCAGCAAACGAAGAGAGACCAAAAAGATCAAACACCTCATCATCCAGAACGGCAAAGTAGTCATAAGCATGACCGTTTCCCTTGTGATATCACAGAATTGATTGCTGCAATTTCCAACCCTGAGAACTGTAGTTGTCCCAGCAACCAAAATAGCAAGTGAAGTGCACAGTTCAGAGCTGGTTGGAACCGAATGTTGAACAGGAGAAGCAGGTGCAGGGCTGTGGGAGATGGATTCCCCTTCTGCGACACTGAAACAGAACATCTTGAAGAGGTGCCTAGGCACAGAAGTTGGTTGAGTCGAACCCAAATCCTTCCCACACAAAACCTGGCCAGTTGCGCTGTATTGCGGACTTGGCTGTGGCTCCCGTGGCTCCGGAATCCAAATCTTGGAGAATGGCCAGAGTCCTTGACGAATCTGCAATGACTTGACGAATCTGCACGAATGGAAACCAACGAACCACCATTTGTGCAGGACCCCTCTTGGGGTTTCAGGTTAATAGGAAGCAACTTCATTTGAATCACGGCTCCGCGAACATCGAATTTGCGCGGGAGAGAGATGCGGTGAGATTCAAGTAGGGCGCCATGTATTTCCTCTTTAGCCTCACCCCACCAAAGGAAACTCACTGTAAGTTGGCCCACGGTGATGACTATGACATAGGGCTGTCTCCAAATGGGTTTGTGCTATCTCTCTTGATTCTGCTTAAACCAATCCTATTCAACTCCAACAAAAGAAACACACACACACACACACATAGGCAAAATATGCCTTCATAAAGTGTCAGCCTACCCGTATGAGGGTCCTTTCAAAAGAAAGGGTGCCTTCCCTCTGAAAAGGGGTAATAAAAATTGTCCACCAAACAAAAACCATTCTATGAACGTCGTCCTTCCCCCTTCAGGTCCCTCTTACAGCGCCCTTTGATAGTTTTTTGTGGCTTCTCAAAGTTAGGGACCTGCAGGTGTTTAGTTTCTATTTGGTTTCCATCTAACCGTGCAATAGTTTCTCCTTTGGAACGGACCCCTTTGGGCCTTCACACACATCTACCTCTCTTCCAGTGCCCAGGGCCCCTGCTGCACACAGCACGCTCCCTCTGCTTGGCACGCAACTCCTCGGGCTTCGCCCAGCGCCCGGATTGGTTCGGATTCTTTAATCCTTCCTCAGCTTTGGCTCAGAAAACGACTTTCAAGAAGTAGTATCATGTCAAAAGCGGTCCCCGAATTGGCGGTTCGCAGGTTCAAGGGGTGCCATCTTTTCAAAAGGAAACTGGGCGCATATTCTTCCGGGACAGGAGAGTGGTTGCCATCTGATTAACGCTACCCTGGAAAGGATCGAAATTGTGATTTGGGCACCCTACAGTCAAAACAACTTCAAGCGAGCGGGGGCCGGGTCAAGGTTTGGGCATGCGAAACCCCCCAGCGCCTCTTCAAAACAAACCTGCCAACTTCCAAACCACCAATGAGGGAAAAGGAGACTTCTTTATTGCTTCGGACCCTTTCCCACATTGACGTCAACAATCGCACAAGTTGGCACTTGTGCTGAAACCGCCAGGGTTACACCAACCAAAACCACTGGGCGCAGGTTTGGGTTAGGATCATCCACAAGGGTGAGCTTGGGGTGTTTCCACCAGTCATTGCCGTCCAACATTCTGGTTGATTCTTTGGTATAGCCATCCAAACAAGCGCGGGAACCATTGCCTTGCCTGCGTACTCAGCCCAAGTGCAGGTGGACACACACAGTCTTGCACTGATTCAGAGCTACAAGCGGAGCCAGCCAAAAAAAGTGACGGTCAGCAACTAGAGACTTTGAAAGAGCATGCGCCATCGAATCTTCCCATGTCTCAACTCTCATCAATCTTGGACGCCAGATTTTGGGCGTCCAAAGCCGCGCACCTCCAGCATTTCGTCCAGAGACTGGCCCCGGTTTCGCGTGAGGTCCGGGGACCCGGAGCGTCCTGGCAGGCACTTCCAAACCTCAAGCTCAGACTTCGAACCTCGCCGTAAAACCTAAGTCTAACCTCAAAATCCAAACCTCCAAGCAAAAACCTCCAAACCTTAGAGTATGATAAACACATCTCCAAACCTCAAATTCTGGCGCGTTTTCAGGTAAGTTGGTTCCTGAGCCGTGGGCATGGCACTCGCAGGGGGAGGTACATGAGAAATCCCGTGTTCTGCTCCGTGCCCGTTAACCCACTTCAAATAGGATAATTTTGCGTTTGGTCAGAGGGGTATGAACAACAGCAAGCCTTTTGTATGCGCAAACATAGAAAAACAGGCTTGTAGTGCACTCTTGGTGTGTCCCTTGATTTTGCAAAGCGGCAGACCCCGGTTTCAAACCCAAATATCACGCGTCGCGTCGGGTTCCGACGGGCCATCTAGGGATCAACCCAATGATCAAACCTGCCTTTGGCAAAACACATGAGAACAGGTGCAGGGGTCTTTGCGGTGGCTGCGCGCTTGCATCTTATCCAGATTTGTGCGTCACTATGTCACCCTCGAAATCAGTCGACTCTGCCTGCTCCCTCGCACCAACATTGAAGCCGACCGAAGGTCGTTTAAGAGAAAACTGAACTTGCCAGTGCCTTCCACAATTTGTGTGCAGGGTAACATCCCCGCAAGCCACACACTGACAGTTCACATTCAAGCCTTTGCGCTTAGTGCCATTGCCACTCTTTTGGGATAGGCTTAACTCACCGTCTAAACGGGCGGTCAGGGCGGGAGGCAACAGCTTTCCACGTTGCGGTGTTTGTTCGGGAAAGCAAATTTGGGTGTGGTTCAAGGTTGCCATTCATAAACAGATGTTTAGCAGTCATGGCCATTTGCCCCGACTTGAACTCGTCTGGAAAAACCTAAAAGTGCAGACGCAGGTGGAAGCGGCCCGGTAGTCTGACCCGGCCACCCCGCCTTCGCGCTTCGGACTGCGGCCTAAAGACAAACAGATTAGGGTGGATCTGAATGGGCAAACACCCTGTTGAACATCGCGAAACTAGCCTCTGTTTGGTTAGATGGAACGGTGGATTGGTCACATGAAGAAAGGTTGATAAAAACCTGTTCCTAGCAGTTAGCAAATGGGATCTAGCATTCACTCGAAATTGGTGAGAGGACTGGGGCGCATAGCATAATTTGCAGGAGACTTGGACTTGGAAACAATACCTGTCATGCGGCGTCATTCGTTCGCCCTCATGCCAGTCACATTTTCAGCAACAACAAACACCTAAGCACATGCAGGCCGCACATCAAACAGGGGCATGATGTGATGGACCCCGTTTAGAGTTTAGGGATTCCTGAGTTGAGGGTGCCGTCAGAAAGGGTCAGTTCTATGGGCTAAACGTAGAGCCAACGTTCGATAACTGTGCTCAAGAAAAGGAAACACACATTGATTTTCCTGTAAAACAGCAAATGTCAAACAGGGAAAGGCCAAGGATGAGAGGCCAATTGACGCCTCTTATCAAACACCAGTGTTGTCGCGCTTCTACATGCTATTTGAAGGATCGTGGCAACCCCGCCATGCATGGGACAGTCATTGTTCTGAACACATGAACCATGCTCGCACATGAAGCTTCTTTTGTGACAAAGAACGACAGTTTTCCCCCAGGAAAAGCAACTTTCTGATATCAGAGGGTCGTGGTAAACTCTCTCCTCATTCCTAAAAGCAATCATGTTAGTTTGTTGTCTTGGAGGCTCGCTCTACTTGTTGAATCGACATCTTTGCACCGAAGCGATATCCTATACGCTTGCAAAGATCTTGTTTCTGCAAGAAGTGACAAGTCTTTCCTTGCACCTGTGCTACTCGATAGTGGTCCCTCTAAAACGGCGATGGGTTGAAAGCTGGGTGGCAAATGGATGTATCGAGTGTGCCCAACAAAATCTTCATCCCCTGGCAACAAGTAAGCTCACAAATCTCACAACCGGAACTAGTAAGTTCATCAAGTGCATCATCTGTAGCTTCCTGACGCGATTCCTTGGAGGAGTCAGCGTTTCGAGGACTCCTTCTGCTCACTTCGGTGCCCAAGGCCCAAGCTCCGGCTCCGGTCGCGCTCCTCGCTCTCCGGCTCGGCTACGGGAATTGGCGCAGCTTTGGCGCGCAGGATCACTCGGCCCAAGTGGTATACCTGCAGGGTGCGGGGGGGCGTTGCTCAAAGGGCTGGTGACAGTCAAGCACGCAACTGGCTTTAGGGACCTGTCACTTTTTCATATTTGATCGGACAAGGGTCCTGCACTACCTCAGCTTTTGCCCACAGTTGCTTCTTTGCTGATGGTGAGCCTGAACATCCAACATATGTTCAAAACGGTTCAAAAGAAACCCCAGCTTAGATGTGACCATTGGGTCTCATTTCATTCGCTCAGAGCAAGAGCTGTGAAGTCCGTCGCGGTTCTGCCGCCGCCGGTTGTGCGTCAGCAACGTAAATCTAGGAGACCCCAGAATCCTTCAGCGGAGGCATGACAGTCGAGCTGGCGAAAGGACACTTGAGCTGGCAGCCTCCTCCTTGCCGTTGGCCTTGGCTTCACTGCCGGTGTGTTTTGAGGGTTCCCCTTTTTAGCTTGGTTTGATGGGAAAAGAAAACCAATTCGTGGGGTTTGCTGAGTGGATTGGTTAGGACAAGTTCAGAGTTTTGGTCAGTGAAATTATCTTCAAAGGTCTCAAGTCCCGGAACTCAGGGAGTTTTTTCATACCAACAAGGGAGCTCCGATGAATCTGGCGCAGAAATTTCTTTACTGAGGGCAACCAAATAAAAACCCATTCACCAAGCTGCGACGTATGTCTGTGTTTTTGCGGTCATCTGCGGATTCCAGGGGCCTTAACGTTGGGGGTCTTTGGGGGCGAGTGGTAAGGTCGATGGACGGCCAAGGCGCCAGAACTCTGACAGAGATGCGGGTGGAGATAGACCTGAGAACGGTCCGATGGGAGGCTGACCACAACTTATGCAAGATGGGATTATCAGCGATACAGAATGAACAATGGTCTCATTCAAAGAATTATCATGATCATCCGCAGCAGTTGCGTTTGATCTTCATTCACGCGTGTTTGTCTCGCAGTACTGCTCTGAAGTAGGTACAACACTTCTTGGAAGCTTTTGAGGATTGTGCTTGATGATCTCGGTACGGGTTGGCCGTGCTATACAATGGCCTCTTTTGGAAGGCTCCATTTGGAGTCTCCGGTGCCTAAGACCTGCAGTGCCTAAGACCTGCAAGACTGGATCAGTCTCACTGCAGTCCTGAATCACCAAAGATCCTCAAGGAAGCCTCAAGGAATCAAAGCCTCAAACAAAGGAAAGCCCAGGACCAAGCCGAAATGTGCTGGGTCTATGACCCAGCCCCTTCGGCATACCCCTCAGAATTCCGGCCTGCGCGATGTGCTTTGCACCAGCCTGAACAGCAAGACCCGCATGAAGCAGCTTCTGCTCAAAAATCACTGCGTAGCCACATGGCAGCTCTACATCCACAGCTGTGTCGTCATAGTTTCCAGTTGGCCAGAAACGTGTAGCACCTCCGCGGAAAGTGGACCGATCCGAAAGAGAGATCAGCAAAGTATGACTCGAATCATAGCGTTCTTTGCCATCCTCGGCTTGGACTGTCATCGAATCAGCCTGATCGTAATGAGCTGCAAAGAAGTCTTCCGTGTCATATCGGGCTATGCGCCAATTGGGATGAATCCCGCGCACTGCAGTGTGTGGCTTGGTCTCCTCCAGGAGATTCAGGAGAGTAGGGGGTAAACGTGGCCCAAGCAAGGCGGAAAGCTCCACATTGCAATAATTGCCAGTGCGTTTGTTGGTCCGAATCCCTGCGGTACCTGCTTCTCTGGTAGTAGCAAGCAATCCGAAGCTCTCGCCAGCTGCAATCACTTCCACACATTCATCTTTGCTCAAAAGCTCAGATACCACCCATGCACGTCCTGGAATGATTGTAGTGACGCCATTTGAGATTTCATGTCCATCTCCTCCGAACTTCTGATGAACTGGAGATGCCATGTGCCTCCAATAAGCTTCCCGAAGCTCTTCCTGTTCCTCCGGAGTTTTCTTCGCCGGAAATTTGAATGCCGCAGGCTTCGGCGCTTCTGTCGGCTGCTGAGGGTAAGGTCTTGGCTCTAGGAGGGCAGCGGCCAGCGGGGAGTCAGGGCCGATGGGCTTTTCGAGGTCTCTGATCAAGTCCATCTTTCTTTCTGTGACCGAAGCCCGCAGACTCGGATCCATGTACCCCGCCATAGGGGCTAAGAAAATCTGAGTCTAGCTCTAGGATCTGGGCTGCGCAGGTGCGGCTTGGAGTCTTTGCTATGTCTGCTACTGATGACAGTATGCATGCAACAGTGAAACAATGTAAGCAAGTTTCAATGACATATAATGTTTGAAATCAGCAGCTGTGAATCTCAACCACTATAGGTGAAACATATGTAATTCAACAAGCCGCCAATTGAGAACCCTAACCACTGACAATAAATGAGTTCGCATTTTGCAAGCCAAAAATAGGAACCCCAACCTGCACATCATAACAGTCCACCCGGATACTAAGCGCCCGCGCTCGATCACCTGAACTACGGCGCCTTGCACCCACACGCCGTTGTCCCGGCAAGCCTGGCACAGGCAAGGCGGCTAGCCTAGACCAGGGTTTCCACAACCCGCCCAAACTATGCCTTGAGAGCAGATGAATTTTACGTGGATAGTGTCAAACAAAACGGTGAACCTCGCAAAAAGGGCGGCTCGAGAACTGGCCCGAAAGCATAAGAAGAACATCAAGCAACATGGGGAAGCTGGCCGTCGAAATTCAGTGACACCAAAATCGGCCATTCCACAACTGCCTATGACTACTTGTGATTTTAAAAGGTTCTCTTGGAATCATAGAAAGCAAAACAATTTTACGAAGCCCCGAATGGCTCCAGTCATAAGTCATAGCATCCTTCTGGGCGAACATCCATTTCCCATATTTTCAGAGACCCCAGATTGATGTGACAAATGTGGACCGGGACCCCTGCTATCCCCCCGTAAGCGCCAAGGGCGCCTCCACCGCAGTGCCAGGCTCCTTGAACAAATGCAGGGTGCTCTTGTTCTGCGCAGCTCGCTTTCTGTACCTGAAGTGAGTCAAGTGGGTGGCTGCATTGTGGGTATTGTCAGGTCCCTATTTGGGGCCCTATCTGGATTTTGGGGGTTTGTCAAAGGAAGAGGCGGCACCTTGCACCGAAACCAGTCCAAAGGAACGGCCAGATTCTTGACAACTCCTGTGCATCAAGCCAGGCTCTCCAATCTGACTCAAAAGATGATGTTACCGAAGGGCTGGACCCAAGCATGGCCGGAGCTGCCATTGGCCAATGTCTTCATCCCAGCTACCGCAAGGAAAAACAGCTGGCCATCTGGCGAATTGGGTTTTGAGCGCTGCTCACATGATATCATCGGAAATTGTGAAGAGAGGTCAACGGTCAAGACATGGGGGACGAGCTACTGACAAGAAGAGGGATGAGACACTCGTTTTCCTTTCCTTGGTGGTTCGCCACACAAGCTGTGATGAACGGAGGACTTCTAAGTGGGTCATGAGCAAGGCGACCAGCGACGCAGACCTCCCCTGCAGCTGAGCCCAGCGCTGTCCCAGGGGCGCGACCTGGCTTGGAACAATGGGCCCATGATTGGATGTGTTTTGTGCTCTCCCTTTGCCATCTCAAACAAAAGCTGCCCTCAGACAAACATAGGCGCCACGGTCAAACCGCCCTCGTGTGGCTCATGGTCATGCCTCATTGTCTAATTCCCGCAAAAAGGCTCCATATGCATTCCGAACATCAAGTCAAAGTTTCTCCTTGGTCCAGCTGCTTCAGACCTGCCTCAAAGCTTTGTTTATTTTTTTTCGGGGCCCGAAATCACTCGCTCCAATGTGAACCACATTTGGTGTGTTTCTCGGCTCCGCCTTGTGCTGGATGCAAAGGCAACCGAGTACACTGACTTTCTTGGCTCTACCGTTGATTATGGCATTGTGGCAAAAGCTGTCCCTGAAAACATGGCTTATGTGGACCATTTCCTCTTGGGCTCTTCAAAATGGAAGGGTTAATCCCTATCGGGAAACCACAAAGGGGACCTTGTTGCCTTTCGTAACTCAGGATTTCCGGGAAGGATCTTTCTTTTGGTTTCCCTTGCAAACACCCATATTATTTGAGTCATGGTCAACCTATGACTATGCGAATGTGGCTCGTCCCACACATTTACTACAAAGGAACTGTCGTTTTGCTGTTCCAACCGGTTCTGGGTAGTGGTGCACCCAGCAACCCGGATAACACAAAGAGTTGGAAACTGATTTGGGGGGATTCTTGGGTCCCGAATGAAACAAAAAGGGATAGTTGAGTAAGTGTTTCTTGAGGGTACCCTTCTTACCTTGGTTCAAAGGGAAACCAACAGCAAAACCGAAATCCCATGTTTGGGTCTACTATTTTGAGACACACCCAGCTAATGGGTGGAATCCAGTGAACGTCTTGGTGGCAGGCCTTCTCCTCGATCTTCTTCTTCACGCCCATGGGGATGCGCGGCAAGGTCTCGGCTCGTCGTGTCGCGTCCCCCGCATTCTCCGATGGGTGTGTCTCAAAACTTAGGGGACAAGCGGGTAGCTGGTTTCCCCGTGGGTTCGATTGAAACCATACAGACCCCTATCAGCCGCAGTCAAGATATGCGTTCTCTTGTGATGGATTAGTGAGTTTTCCGGCAAGGCTTCGAGGTCCTCCCCGAAGCGAAGCACGGCGCTAAACTCGATCCGACGGGGGTTCGGGGGGAGCTGTTTGGTGCGGGGGGATAATATACATATATATATATATGTATATATATATATATATATATTATATATATATATATGGTCACCCCCCCCCCCATGATCCACACCCCCATGTTGCAAACTAGAAAACATACCAAAAATGCAGGAAAACACGTTGTTCCTTGTTTTTTGTTATACAAAGGCATATCAGATTCTGACCAGATTCTTTGAAGGATATCATCTCCAGATGAAATGGGTCGGTTCAGCAGATGGTTTCCTACATTTGAAGGATGAATCCAATGTTGGCCTTCAGAGTGAGATAGTTTTGAGACTGGATGCCAGCTTGAAGTGCTGATGAAGAAGCTGTGACATTTAGGCTCCAAAAATAGAGGCCTTACAGCATTTTAAGCATCCAAGAGCAGAAAATGCTGTAAGTCTCTATTGTTGAGGCCTTGGAAACCCAAAAACTAGAGACCTTACAGCATTTTCTGCTCTTGGATGCCTAAAATGCTGTAAGGCGGCAATCCTGGACAAGTCTTGGCCTTGAGGCCTGGAGACCTGTCCAGGATTGCGTTTTTAGCGATTTTAGAGACCTTACTCAGAAGCAGAAAATGCTGTACGGCCTCTATTTTGGAGGCTGGGAAGCTCAAAAAATAGCGACCTGGCAGCATTTTCTGCTTCTGAGCACCAAAAATGCTGTAAGGTCTCTATTTTTGAGGCCTTGGAAGCCTCAAGATAGAGACCTTACAGCATTTTGCACACCAGAAGCTGACAGTGTTGAGAAGCCTTTTTTTTCCGTCCGTCGCAGCTTGTCTGGAAATCTGCAATCACTTCTCGGCATGCAGTGCCCGCAGCATCTGTCCAGTTGCTGTCCACAAGTTAGACTGCATGTGCCAATACTCCCACTGCGCAAAGCGGATCTTGCGTGTGAGGCACACGGGCATTAGTCTTCAGCTTTGCCCGTAGCGTTCCCCAGAATCGATCTATGATCTGGGTGTGGTCTTTACAGAAAAGGAAGTGCCATCAGGAAGCTTCAGGTGGTACACCTTGGTATAGCGAGGCCGGACCCAGGTAACCTGACAGGACAGTTTTTATTCAAGACACGAAGGTGTCAGGCAAAGAGAATTTCTAGAAAAGTCATACATATTATTATCGAGCCTTGTTCTTGACCGTCTGCTTCTTCTTCTGATGAACCACGTTGCAGTGGTGAACCCCAGGCAACTTCACCTTGTAGGCGCGGGCTCCATCAGAGTGAAGGATGACCTTCCGGTTAGCCAAATGCTTCTTCGCGATCGGCATCCAGTCAACCTTCTTGATGGGTCTATAGACAAAGGGATGAAGGTCGCCCTCGTTCAACCAGTCCACCCCACTGCTCCCGTGTGGTGTTGTGCTGGTGCTCGATTGTCTCATCTGTGAGCTTCCCGATGTCGACCTCATCGACCTTGGTGTCCTGCCAAGCGCCACCGTAGGTGATGCTCCTTTTCTGCTTAGTGACATAGTCTGCCCTAGCGACATCCAAATTGGCATAGACGCACTCCACTGGCTTGCGGTCCATATCTAGGACCAGGTGAGCCGACTGGCATGACACGCCAGCCACTGCGCAATACAGGGCGGCCACTTGCTTGGAGAGAGGTGTAGATGACTTGCCCGATGACATGAAGAAGACAGGATGAAAGTCGTGTGGCTGTAGAAGTTTGTGGCAGTAGCGATGGTTGCACCTGTGTGCCCACAGCTTCTTATCCTTGAAGAACTTCAATGGGCCCATGACGCCTTTACCACAACGAGGGCAGTGTTTGCCTTTACAGCTCGACAAGATCTTGTCCTTGAGAAGCTTCTGCAAGAGCTTGGAAGGCGATAACGACATCCACTCCTGAATGGATCGGCCCCATTGAGCGCGATGGCCTCTGTTCTTCGTGGTGGGAACACCATGACGAACATAGGCCACAGGTGTGTATTTCTTGTTCGCGGCAGGCCTCCTCTGGACCCTACGCTTGCCTCGCTTCGGGTCTGGGAAGACGGGCTTCTTCTTCATGGCTTTCATCACCCCCTTCGGCATTAGGGCAGGAACGAAAGGAGTCAGTCACAGGATAGCTGTTGAGCAACAGACTGCGCGCAACTCTTCGTGTCATGGAGTCATCCCAAGGTAACACCTAACCAGCATTCCTCATGAGGTCATATGTATGCATATGCTGCACACCCTTTTTTGGCTGGGCGCATTTTGTGCAGGCCTTGCATTTGTCATGAGACGGCTTATAGGTTTGTGTCACCCACTACAGACTATCCTGTCCATTTGTTTTTTTCTCAGGAGACGCAGCGGAAGACTTGACCTGGACACTTGGCTCCTCAGGAACCTTGCCTTCCGGCGCATCAGACGAATCCGAGAGGTTGATGACGAGAGGCCGCTTTGAGCTCTTCAAAGAAAACGATGGGGTCCCAGAAGGCTCTTTCTTGATGGTGACCCTGGGCTTCTCCAAGTAGGCCTCACTCTTTGCTGTCTCAGGCACTTTCATCTTGGGCTCCTCAGGCATCTCCGTCTTGGGCTTAGCTTCCTCTGTCTTGAGTTCTACTTTGCTTGAGAGCAAAGCTTCAAAAGATTTCACAGTGCGCAACCTTTTCGCAGGAAGTTCTGTTGCAGACTCAGGCTCCTCATTGAGATAGTACTTGGTCTTGCCATCAATCCCAGCCAGGGTAGGCCGCCCCTCCTCGATGTGTTTCCGTCCAGAAAAGAGCTCTGTTCCCTTTGTGGTGGTGCAAAATCCTCCCCGTCAAGCCCTGCCTGCAACAGATTCAAACTCCATTGCAGAGGCGCAGGCGCAGAGGCGCAGGCGCAGAGGCGCAGGCACAGAGGCGCAGGCGCAGAGGCGCAGGCACAGAGGCGCAGTCACAGAGGCGCAGGCACAGAGGCACAGGCACAGAGGCACAGGCACAGAGGCACAGGCACAGAGGCACAGGCGCACAGAGGCACAGGCACAGAGGCACAGGCACAGAGGCACAGGCACAGAGGCACAGGCACAGAGGCCCAGGCACAGAGGCCCAGGCACAGAGGCCCAGGCACAGAGCCCAGGCACAGAGCCAGGCACAGAGGCACAGGCGGCACAGAGGCACAGGCACAGAGGCACAGGCACAGAGGCACAGGCACAGAGGCACAGGCGGCACAGAGGCACAGGCGGCACAGAGGCACAGGCGGCACAGAGGCACAGGCGGCACAGAGGCACAGGCGGCAGAGGAACAGGCGGCACAGAGGCACAGGCGGCACAGAGGCACAGGCGGCACAGAGGCACAGGCGGCACAGAGGCACAGGCGGCACAGAGGCACAGGCGGCACAGAGGCACAGGCGGCACAGAGGCACAGGCGGCACAGAGGCACAGGCGGCACAGAGGCACAGGCGGCACAGGCGGCACAGAGGCACAGGCGGCACAGAGGCACAGGTGGCACAGAGGCACAGGCGGCACAGAGGCATAGGTGGCACAGGGGCACAGGCGGCACAGAGGCACAGGCGGCACAGAGGCACAGGCGGCACAGAGGTCTGGTGAAGTTGCCCTGCTTGTAGGCAGCCAAGGTTGGGCGCGCCGCTGGCGAGATCATGCCAACATCATCCTCCGGGCACGCGTGGCGCTTGACGGGGTCTCGCTTTGTGCCAGGCAAGCGAATGTAGATGCCAACCTCCGTGAAGACCACAAAGACACTGCGCTTGAAGACTCCCATCAAGTCCTCCTCATCGAATTCCTTGTGGAAGGAAGGACGAACAAGCTTGAAGAAGATGTCAAATGGCACAGTGTCGGAGTTGGCATGTGGGCTCATGGGCGGCTCGACCGTGCGGTCGTAAGGATTGCTGCAAATCTGGCACAGCTGATTTTTCTCGTATGAGGATGCGTTGTATCGGGCCATGGTTTTCCGATCAACTCCGTCCACCTCCGTGACGGCTTTGACTGCAGCGGGGTGTTCGAGGTTGAGATTCCCGTCTTGCGGCCCTTCTCCTTGCGCAAATAATCCAGATGATTGGCTGTCTGGAAGCTCGGGGACTCGTTCTTGTGTTCCTGAATCAACCAGTATGCCGAGACCACGGAGGACAGGGCGTAGGAGGCCGGGCTCTTCCCCACATGGGATTTACCAATCCTGGGGCAGGATCGGGGCAATGACAATGTTCAAGGCGCAGGGAGCAGACTTTTCAGTGTCAGAGGCCAGCCGTTGATGGTGTTTGCTTGGGAGCCTTGATCTGCGAGCACCCGCAAGAACTCCTTGATGGTCCCCTTGTGCCATTTGTACAAAGGGCCATTTGGGTCGTTCACCTGTTCTTCTGTCCAAGTGGTGAACTGACCCTTGGAGTTCTCCTCCGGCCCCTGCTCACGAATGAAGTCAAACCCCTTCCTGATATTCGGCGGTCTCCAGGGGCTGCTTGTTGGAGCTGCCGGCGGGGACGAGCTTCTGATACCGGACTTGGAAGCCGCCTAAGCCCTCCAGCATGTGCTGTAGAGCACGGCCTCCTTCCCTGAACTTGCCCTGAAGGTCGACCTGAAGAGCCTGGCCATGGCACATCCGCAAAATTGCGCTGCGCAGGACTCTGGTGCCGTCCACGAACTTCACGTGCTTGATGATGTCGTGCTTGTTGGAGCCTTTGGGCACAATGAAGAGCTGCAAGTTGTAAGGCACGAGGTTGTTGCCTTTCATGCCGATCGGTGCAAGCAATTCAGCATACCGCTGATGCAAGAAGAGTTTCCAGAGCCTTGAAATCCAGGGCGCCTTCGTAGTCAGGTATGACATCCAAGAACTGCACTGTCTTCTTGATGCCGTCTGTGAGTTCCATTTTGGCCGGGAGGTCACCCAGCCTCACAAAGCCCGCTTCCTTATGCACCACCATAGGCTTCTCCAGCTGGAGCACTTTCATGCCCTCCGTGCAGGCTGTGGCCTCCTCAAACGCGCAACGCCCGTCAAGATTGGCGGCGTCCATGCTTTGAGCGAGAGACTGAGGTCGGTGAGGAGCTTGGCTTGCCATTGCTAGAAGAATGCAACAAGCAAAGAGGATGCAAGTATGATTGCCTAGTTGGCTTGGTGAAGGCTGCGGCAGACCAGGGACATTTGACAGACCTGTTTGGATGGCTGTTTAATTTGCGGAGGACCTTGTGCGTGCAGGCAGAAAGCAACACTTCTTGTTTGCAAGCGGAGGTAGTCTTCTTAAAAGACAGAGCCATGTCCGTTCAAGTTGACACACTTGCTTTGCAGGTCAGGCAGCGCGCTTTTTCCTTTTTACTCCAGTGTCAGAAAAATGCCCAAGGCACAGAAAATCTAGCCATGTGGCTGCCGGCTCTCACTTAACGATGAGCTGCACCTCGTCGCCGTTCAGCTCCGTCTCGCCATCAGCATCCACCTTGAAGAGGATGCCATCGAACTCAAAGACTTCAGAGCCTCAGGCAGGGGACAAAGAACGGCCGACAAACATGAACTTCAAGAAAACGCTCCTTCTTTAAAGAAGATCATCGAACACCAGGCCAAGGAGCCGTTGGGAAGTTGACCGGCCTTCGTGGGCCATGAAGCAGGCCCAGAGGGGGCACTTGGCCCCGGGGTATGGCTCCATTGCTGGAGGGCCCGCAAAACTTCGCGGGGAAGTACTCCATGAAAGGCAGTGGCAGACATAAGTGAGTCTGCCGAAGCGAATGATCTAACAATTTGCTAGGCCAGCCAAAAACTGCAGTATGCTGCTTTTGCTTTCCAGGTGCATGTGCTGCACGTAAGGCATGACAGTTGCTCCTGCCAGATTGGCCCTGCATCTCAGATGGTTGGACAAGCAGAAGGTTGGCCCTGCATAGCAGATGGTTGGACCTGCTTGGACAAGCAGAAGGTTGGCCCTGCATAGCAGATGGTTGGACCTGCTGGGCGTGGATCATGGGGGGGGAGGGGGGGGCGAGCATATATATATATATATATATATACACTCTAGACATGCGTACATACATATATACTGCATAGACTAGCAGCCGTGGTATGAAAGCCCAGTGACCTAATTTTGCTATTATCTGATTTATTCACATTTTGGGAAGCCAGCCCCCTTCGGGTCACCAAACAACTGAGTTCCCGTGAGCAAACGGCCAATGGACGCGTACAGCCTTTGACCTTTGGAGCGGCAGGAAGCGTAACGTTCACAGAATCGACCGAAGGAAAAGGATCCCCTCTAAACTGGGATAGGATAACCCTGCGCTCTTTATTTGCAGTATAATTCACGAACCGGAATTACGGAATTCGTCATGGATTTTGTTTCCCCGAAGCGGTGAGCTCGCTACTAGCGCCGGCGGATCAATCAGCGGTTTGATCCTGTCCCATGAAAACAACACAAATGTGTGTGTGTGTTCTTTCTGAGAGTACCCTTTTCAGGTTGATTTGAAGGGAAACCAAAAGGTTCACCACCATTCTGGGGATTTCCTTTTGACAAAACCAGCCCGAGCCCAGGCCGCTCGAACAGACTGAGGCGCCGAGTAGTAGTAGCGCTCGTCCATGAGCAAGGACTGCAAGTGGATTCAGATGCTGGAAACCCTCGGAAACTTCGTTTTGCCCGTGTGAGACAACTCGCTTTTCGTTCTTTGTCTCGAGCTCAACCTAGGCCAAGTCGCCTTGCAAAAGCAAGCTGTTCCTGCCTGTTTTGAAACTGTTGAGCTTTTCTCTTCTCTCCTGGTTTCCCCTGAGACACCGCGGGAAGTTGCCCATCAGAACGAAGAGCTCTTTTAAGGGGAACCATAGGGCTCATCAAATGTCCATTTTTGAAGTATCACTTGATTCTTTACTTTACATTTTTTGCCAAACGATTCTGAAGCTAAGATGAACTCGTTCCTGAACAAGCATCACATCTGTCGTGGCTATGACCTGCCTCTACATACTCGCCGATGGTGACAGTGAAGCCCGGAGTGGACTTGGAAGGTTCAAACCTCAGCGCTCGAAATCGCATCACAATGGTGAAGGAATCTGATCGCGTGGATTCGATGATTTGTCGAGGCGTGCCGTGACCCCCTCTATCATTTTCACTGAGTGGATCCATATGAGAAAGCCAGCAGCTCACAGTTCCCGGCGATGATTTTAACAATCCATCATTTCCACCCAAATCCAAGTTGCAACCAGCCCGAACAGTGGAACAAGAATTATTACTCGTTTCAAAATTGATCCTGAGTGGGGAACGGACCAGGAAGCCACTCAACAAGGGGCAGGGTAAGTTCTTTTTCTCTATTGTTTTTTTTTGGAGAGCAAAAGGGACCCTTGAAAACCGGCTTCTCTGTTCTTGGGAGTACACCTGAATTTGCCAACCTGAAAAGGAACGTTCTTTAAACATTGCGAAAGGGTTTGAAACAGAGTTTCGGGATGGATAAAACAGGCCCTAACCCACCAACAAGAAGAGACCACCTTATCCCCCCGGTCCCAAGGGCAAAGCGGTTGCCCCCGGCCGGCACTAACACGAACCAAAAGGGGTGCCTCGTTTGTAACAAGAAGGAACCAAGCAGCAGCGCAGCAGAGCGCAGGGCAAGCAAGCAAACCAGCGGCAAGCAGCACCAAGCGAGCAGAGCGAGCAATAGCAGCGCGCTCCAACCAAAACCCGACCCACCTCCGGGACCAAGACCACCGCACCAGGGACAGCGGCCGCGCAAACACGAGGCCGATGTCGAGGCGCGCCGCGGCTCTTTCCGACGAGATGGCGAGCGAGGTTGCCGAGTGAAAAGCTTGAGCCAAGTGCCGCGTTGGGCATTGGCATGAAATTAAACATGTTGCGATAAAAGTACATGCCCCCAAAAACACCCCCCTCGCCTGTACAAAGAGAAGGAGTGAATTTGGAAAGGCGCATTGGCCATGTTGGAGTTGAGTTACAATGAAAAGGAAACACGGAGGATTAAGTTACCAGGGTTCGCGACCCCATACCCGGGCTCACTTTGGAGCCCGGATCCCGCCACCACCCCGAATTACGGGTATGGGGCGGATTCGCGCCGGTAACCAAATCAACCAAAAACAAAAACAAAAGAAGGAAAGAGAACAAAGTTTCAACTCCATAATGGCAGGCATGAAATACACTACATTTGCTATGCAACCACAATGAACCGTAAGGTTCAAGTGGATTTGTTTTCTGAATTCATGATTCAGGCGCTTTGGCCCACTGGTTGAAACGTGGTGCTTCGACCATAAGACCTGGGTCTTTAAAGTAGCACCGTCTAGGCGCGCGATCACGCAAAGACCTTCGGTAGGAATACCACCGGCTGCCAGCAGCGGTTCAGGTCCGACTAGAACATCACCGTCAGCGGTGCGACGCATACGTGATCCTCACCTCAGCACCTTGATGAGTTCCATCACCAGCAGCTGCAGCGGTGCAGGATGATGCTGATCGCCAGCGGCCATAGACGCCGCCGAGGGTGACTGCCTTGCTGTGGCGACGTACACCTGACAGGTAATCGCAGCTGGCGCGAATAGCGCATAGCCACGCGTGCAGTCGAATTGTGAGATGGCGAATAGCCGAAACAGGGAAACACTACAAGGAGCATAGTCCTACCTGTGAATTCCGACTTGAGAACATGCGCGCATTGGCGCAGTCATGCAGTACACACGGACGGACTTCAGGTATCACCGATGTCGTCCGCCGCCGTGCCGTCCCTTCCCCTTGTTGACGTTCCAGTCCCCAGGAGGAGGAGGCACGGTTTCGGCCAACTCGTCATCATCTCCCCAGGTAGGGGTATGTGGCGAGTTCGGAATTCGCGGGGATCACCTTGCATATGCGGCTGCCAACTCTGCGGCATTGCGCCAGGCCACATTTGCGGCATCATGCCAGCCATGGGCTGTTGCATGTACCCTCCCATTGGGAAAGTGGGATACATCGGACTCGGGAACGGGAAAGGGGCAGCCTGTGCACCCTTGTACCCCGACCCGCGAGCATCAGGCTGATACCCGCCAGTGGGAGTTCTGGATCTGGCGGATCCGCCACGACCGTACTGCCCGTGTTGGTAGCCGTATTGGCCACCCTTGCCTTTGTACTGATCACCCTTGTGACCCTTGCCTGAAAACTGGTCACCTTTGTGACCCTTGCCTGAAAACTGGTCACCTTTGTGACCTTCACCCTTGGGCCAAGGGTACGCAGGGGCATTGCCCTTTCGTTGATCTCCCTTTTCCCTGTGGTCAGGTCGCGGGGTAGCTGACCGATGATCTCCCCTAGGAGTGGCTGCCCGCCTATGGTGCTTCCCAGACGGCGGGTCAGCAAAAACAATGGCGCTTTGGCCGTCGCGCTGTGCAGCGGGGACCATGTCAACCTTGTTATTTTCGACATAAATGTATGCCTCAGCATACTCAATCGGGGCCGTGATGGATCCACCACCGGCCCGCAGAGAGTCGATACTCAAATCGAGAACTGTGGAGGCATCAAAACTTGGGTCCTCACTATTGAAGTCCGAGAGGCGTCGCTCAGCCTGTACCAATGACATTATAATGTCCGCACGTGAGGCGCCTAGGCCATACAGTGGAACCAAATATCCGTCCTCAATCCCGATGCGGTAGGCATCAAAAATATGCACAGAGAGGTAAAGAGCAAATGCTGAATTTAGACTGCCCTTTCTCGTCATATGACGACCCCATTGCGCCGCCTGTTGCGGGTGCTCGACCAAATATGTCATGACAGACATATTGTCGGGAATTGGGACGCCAGTATTGCTCTCCTCGATGAGTAGCTGTTTTGCTACCCACCGCTCGAGAGCCTCGTCACTCGCACGCACACAAGCGTGAGTGTCCCTTGAGGTGACTTTCACAACCTCCTGAAATGCAACCTGCACGGTATCCGCATTGGGATTGTGCACAAGATGAGGCGCACAGCGCAAACCGGAGATCATACAGCTGACCACCTCGCGGATCGGGTTTACCGACGCCATGAGAGGAGCCCACACGTCAGTCTCCCCTTCATACCAGCTGTTGGCACGGACTGCCTTGAGTCCGTCCAGCCAAACTGGCTGCCCTCTCCTAACTTGGGAGCGGATGGTGCCTGGCACCCATTCTCGATAGAAAATCGGCAAATGGCAACCATTGCATAGAATGGTGCCATACATATTCAAATGCGCGCACCGAGGGCACCAATAGTCATGCATGGGAGCTTTGTCCCATGAAAATGACACCCCTCTCCGCGGTCCCTGGACATTCAATTCTCGGACCGCCCAGGGACGGATGTATATTACATCCCCTTCCTGGTGCAGATAACATGCGCGCCAGAAGGGCGCATGTATCTCCTCTCGCACAGCAATCAAACCGCGTCGGGTTTTATAGATGCCGGCGGCTTCCTCGATGGCCATCCACTTTAGGTCAACGGCCACGACGACATGGCGCTTGTCCATGTATTTGACGCGATCGTCAACATAAAATTCGCCCTCATTATTGGGGCTTGGCAACTTGAGGAGAGGCACCTTTGCGCCCTCCAACCCAATCATGATCTCCCCCCTGCAGACCTGCTCAGGTCGCATGGGGAAAACTGTGATGGCGAATTTGCCGGGCCTCCGAATGCACCTCGTTTTGAGGGCGGACCGATACTCGGCCATCGTCAGCAGCACGTATCCCGTGTAAGGGACCTCCGCTGCTCCCAACGGCCTAAGCAAAGGCCCCATAGGCGTTCGGTCACGCAGTGCCCAACGCTTGAAAACTTTGAACGGCACGTCCCTCCCGATTAGGGTGGAACGCGCAAAAAGCACCTCATTCGGGCGCACAGTCGTGCCATCTCCCCTCCAGACTGTCCGTATTAGGAGCTCGACTGGAGGGTACGCTGGGCTCTCCTTCGCGAACCCGCCCAGGTCGCCACCTCGACACTCGTGCACTTATGGATCCCGTATAGGGCCTCAAAGAGCGTTGAGATTAGAGCCATTGACATCCAACCTCCCAGAATGTCTGGAACCGTCCCACACAAGAAGGGAGCCGGCTCACCGGGCTTCACGTTCAACCGCGTTGGGTCAGTGTTGCCCGACAAAATTTCTAGCAGCATTTGCGACTCCCTGGAGCTTCGCCCAAGCATCGCCGACGTATCCTTAATCTCGGGGAAAAAATGGAAGATGTCGTTACCGGCAGGACAGGCGATTCTGCCTGCTGTCCCGCTCTGTGCATCAAACACAACCTCTTCACCCTCGTATGTGAGGTTGTAGGTGCTCGCAATCGGGCACACATCGGGCTTTGCCATCAGTGCATCCTCCAGCGACGCACCAGCAGGGAGGACGCCCTTTTCGTGCGCTTTGGCACCTATGGGACCAGTTTTCGCTGACATAAGCCGATAATTTTCGGCACGAACGTATGGAAATAGGTTTTTCATCCTCTCAATTTCCTCTTCTGTGGTGCGCCACGCCTTTGCCTCATAGTAGGGCGGCTCCTGCTTTGAGGGCACTAGGTCGCGGTCGCCCATTGATGAGAACTTGTCCACATATGGGCCCATCCCATCATCATCTACGTGACCCTCGTGATCCTCATCCGAGACGTACTCCCTGGGCGGCTCGCCCAGAGCGTCCAGATCGACCTTACCAAGGTCGACCAACGCCGGAGAATCCAGGATTCTCTGGATCCTCATGAGCTCGTTTCTGAACTGCTCAAAGCCTCCGGCTTTCCAGTTACGGAGGTCGGCATTGCGCCCTCCCATGAGTCTGGAAACATGCACACATTCGTAGGGGAATACTCGTCATCGGAAATATCCCGATCACGCTCCCGTACATCGCTGATCAGTGTCACATCCAACAAGCCGCTTAGGGCCTCAGGACGCGACGCTTTCGCCGGATGCGGCTTTGCGCTCTTTGACGCTACAGCAGCCTCTTTGGTTGCTTTGTTCTTCTTCTCATCGCCCTTACTCCCCTCTCTATCCACATCCATCGCGGACGGCTGTGCGCTCCCCTCCGTCCCGCCCATTGGCGGTTCAGGGGGTTGGACAGGGGACTCCTTCGTG